ACACACACACACACACACTGCAGATCATCTGCAGGATGAAGGACAGGATGTAGGACTGTGTTGCTGTGTAATTATCTTCACTGCCTCAACATCTGTCTCTCCCTCCTTATCTCTCTGCCGTACTACAGTCAGCATCTGAAACACTAGTGATGATGTTGATGCTGGCAGATTTGTCCCAAAGACTCTTTGTTTGACCAAACTAGACCTTTCTCACAGAAAGAAAAGCACAGGTGTAATAAATAAAATGTCTAGTCTCAAATCTAAAGACGGTGTGAGTTTTTAGTCACACACTATAAGATTTTGAAAAGACTCGGGATCTTACAAGACAAGAACTAGATTCCTTCTGAGATTATTTTCCATCCTCCCCCTGGTGGAAAATAATATGCCAAACTCTCTTTAAGAAAAATATTAAAGAAGTATTTTGCTGCTGTAGAGAGATACAAATACTGAGAAGACGGACACTTTTGCTCAAGAGGGAGGAAACGTACAACTACCAGAATGCACTGTGCCGCTCCAGACCAATAGAGACTCCCGCTGTTGGGTGATGCAGTAAGCTAAAACATGTTTCTGAAAACATTTGAGGTGAGAAATTAGAAACTCAGTTACAGAATCTTGGTCTATATTTGATCAGCACTGCAGAGTTTTACAATTTCATCTTTGTTTCTTCGGCCTCTATTTTCACTGCAGGAAACAGTATGGCACCCACTCCTTGTTCATAAACTCGTGCTATTACAGCTAAACACAGCGAAGCAGGCAATACAGTAACATATTCTTGATATGTGTTCGATCAGTGCTGCTTAGATTTACCGTTTTATCAGATTTTAGTCCGAGTTAAAGAGAGAGGGGTGGGTCTGTCTCTCTACCTGCTGATACTCTTTGTGTCCACGGCGACAGCATCCGTGGTGAGCAGTATGAAAATGTGGAAGTACAGCCTGTAGTTTAAGCAACACCCCCGAGAGCTAGTGAAACTCCGCTGCATGACGGAGTTTTGCCAATGTTCATGTCATTGAAATTTAGGTAAACTAAAAACTAATGATAATATTAAACATGGGATTTTGTTTGAATGACAAAACAAGAAAGAGATTGATTAAAGAAAGCTGGAGTTTTATGACAGCCTTACACCAAACGATCAAGATCATGGGAGCATGCACTGGCTGAGGTAAAACTCTCATGATTTTATTCCTACATTGGAAGTGTGTCTGTCATTTGGCGTAAGACAGGTATTAGTTGTTTCACACTAAAAGGTGCAACAAGAGGAGAACTTAAGACTTGAAAATGAAACTCCTGATTTGTAGGGGGAAACATTTGTGTACTTCATACTTAAATTTTGGATTGTTTTTTGAGACAGAAATTAACATTTGTTTATTTACTTTTAGGGTGCAAATACAGTTAGTTTCCATTTGATCCTTTTAAAAATATGTGTATTCTGTGTGTTTAGGTTCTGATTTATCACTTCAAACTGTAGTTTACAGTCATTTCATGTTGCTAATGCTGAGAAATTGTCATCTTTTTTATGTTATATTTTCAGTTTTGACAGGAAAGTCATAACAGAGTCACGGTAAAACAAAAAGAACAAACACAATTAAAGATAAGTAAAATAACTAACCATTTGAAAATAAGTATAAGAAGGAAGGGGTGAGCTGTCTCCATAAAAATAGATTTAATTAAAAGGATCAAAGACAAATCTAAAAATAGGTCAGAAATAATCCAGAACATCTGATTAACCGAAGAGTAGAACTTTTTGCGACGGTGTTAGCGCGCCACATTAATGCTCGTTGACGGATCTTTGTCGTGTCAGAATTACAGACTGCCAAGAACAAATCTGACTGGATTTCTTTTTCAAATACTCATGAAAACCATCTGAATACTTTAAGCCAATAATCACATAAGACAGGATGAAACCAAAATAACTGAGTGAGTGACCGTCCAGCCAAAAGACTTTTTAAAGCTTGATTATCTCAATTAAAGACGACAGTGCTTCTTGTGTTTCGACATATTTGCTGTTTAGTTGAGATTGTCGTCTCATATTGTACACACACTTACAAGGATCTCAACCCAGGGTACGCCTCATTATCTCCGTCTGACATCTGATATGTTTTGTCCTCCAGGCCATCTCACGGTTGTGTGACGACAAATACAAGGACTTGAGGAAACAAGCGAAGAAGCGGTCAGTGAGCGCAGACAACCTGACGGTGGTGCGGTGGTGTCCGGCCATCATTTCCTAACAGTGGCCGCCTGCAGCACGGAGACAGACCTGTCAGACATACTGTACTGTAATTCTGCCTGGTAAGCGGGCACACCAGGTGGGCAGCAGTCCTGTGGATCAGCACACACACACATACACACATATACACACAAGCGGGCACTTTTACAAGTGTGATTGCACCCTCTCTGGTTGTACATAAAAGAAGTCCCACTGGCTGCCTGCACTGAACCAAACAGAGCTGAGCTGAACCAAACTGAAGTGTGTGAGTGAACGTCTTGTGAATGCAGAAGAGGAGGCCGAACTGCAGAAGAAGAAACGCAGCTAGCGACATGAGAGACTGTGTGAAGTTGGGGAAAAAAATAGGAACAAGCTTAATGCGAGAAGCGACAGACGGTAGCGACAACAGCGTTCCACACTTCCCTCTTAGGCTCCGCTGGCTTGTACGGTCGACCGAGGGAAGCCGTGTACATTCCTTTAATTTTTAACCTTCTTGCTCAGTCACTTTCTTAGCTGAAGCATGAGATGATTTTTTTGACAGCTTACAGGCACATTTGAATTTTTAAAATGCTCAAATCCTCAATTTGTTTCAGTGTTTTGTTGGTGTTTATCTGTTCCTTTGCATTCCCATGCAGCAGAAAGCTCTGCCGGCAGATCCAAGCGAAGACGTGTACATTCCACCGCTACCTTGAGTGTACAGTTCGATTCGACTGGACCACATATCGTCGCATCCATTTACACTGTAGCCATTTAACTCAAGTTTTCATTCAGAGAGCTAACATTGAAAACGCAAGTCGGTGTTTAGCTCAGGGGCGCTTTGGCAGGACCTGGGAATTAAACGTGTACTATGTTCTCACAGCGAGGCCATCCAGCCACCGTTCAGACACTCACTTAAAGCAATATCCATGCATCGCTCTGTTGTTGTGATCGAATACGATGAAGCATGCATACTTGGGAGAAGACTCGACTGGAAGACATTGGTCCACTACTCTCAGTCAGACGTGAGACATACTGTAGAGCTTTTGTTGTACTTAATTCACTGCCATTGTCCTGACCTGTGGTGCCTGTAATAAGCTACGTTAACACCTCTCCCCTTTCTACTGGAGGAATAGAACAAATAACTGAAGTATTTTTTTTTCCTTTAACATTTTTGTATGGTTCTTCCAGCTTACAAAGAAACAGCACAAATGGAACATTGACATTTAGGTGCCACTAAACGCATGACTCTTCAGGGTTGTTTTGTGTTGTTCTGGAGAGGAGCGGAACGAATGAGGAAGCATTAAAGTGACGATTCAAACACTGCTCACGAAAAGATCGATTGTATACATTTTGCTAAATTGTCTCTGTACAGTGTAAATACAGCGCAGGTGTGCAGATCTATAGACTGAGGTCGTACTGTAAAAAAAACAAAACAAAACAGAATGATGTTAGAATATTTATATTGGGTCAGTTTTTACTGTACATGACGGGGATGGTAAATATGTCGGATTCTTGTTCCTATGACAAATCAAGTAAAGACAAAGTATTAAGATTTAAAATGGGAGACACCACTTAAGAGTTTTTGTCTGTTCTCTTGTTACGATGTTTTCACACTGCAGAAAATGCCAAGTTTTTTTATGTGTTACATACTGTATATGGTATATAGATAATACGAGACAATTCAGGCTTGTTTTATTATTTGTTGTCATTTTTAAAACATTTTTTTTACCCCACTCTGTGGAAGCATTGCCAGATTCATGTGTTCAACGATGCCTGTGTTTATACGGAGCCTTGTAACTGGGAAATTATAGGAAAAGGTGATCAGGCAAGTCAAAAATACATCAATGAATATTTTTGTTGATGAAATAATTAAAATTGAGCTTTTGGAAAAGCCTTTAAAGCTTTGACAGTTTCCTTCAATTGATAAAGTAGATTAAAATTTAATTTGGTTTTGGTTGTGGCACACATTCAGTCAGTTAAATGTTCCAGTTTTACCAACATCTCTCTTATAATGGTGGTCTATTGGGAAATTGCTGCTTAAGTACTGCAAGAGGCTACTGGGACAAACTGGCAGCATGGCTGAGTAGCAGCTGGGTATCAAGCTCTCTTAATTCATTCATGGTTTAGCCATTCGTGTTTTCAGTTTAGCTACCTAGCTACACAGTTGTTAAGATTGTTTTGATCGATCCATAGACTGATAATAAAGATGGACAATGTTTCTCCACTTTGCGAAATTGAAGCCAAAGTATTCCTGATATGGGCGCTGCCATCTTGTGCTGGTGACGTCATTTGGAGCCAGAGCATACGCAGTAGCAATCGGGATGTGGAGCCACAGTATGAAGTTCCTGCCACACACCCATCCGACCCAGTCGCAAGCGGCACCATTGATTGGGAACATACTGGTTGACACATGCAGCTGTCAGTCATGATGCCACGCCCCCTTTTCATTGCATCAGATGAACTAGTTGAAACCAAATTTGAGAAAAAGGAACACTTCAACATAGGTTAGCATAATAAGAACTACCTAAAATGGCAGAAAACATCTTTGCGAAAAATATTTGACTTATTAGTTTGGCCCATGTCCCATTCCCTCACATGCAGGGGGCAGGGTTTATGATCTATACTGCAGCCAGCCACCAGGGGGCGATTGAGATGTTTTGGCTTCACTTTTGGGGAGCTGTCATGTCGTCTATCTTTATATACAGTCACTGGATCTTACACGAACCGGCACAAGCATACAAATGCTGGACCAGTCACACGCCGTGGACATATACGGTCACGAACATCTTCTTTTCTGCATCATGAAATTGAAATACAATGAGTTAAATTGGAAATGTTGTGCGATTAAAAATAGGGAGAAAAATGATTAAATGTGAGCCAAAACCAAACAACTGGAAAATGATTTGGTGAAAGATAATAAATAAAGTTTCAATCAACAGAGGTTAGAAGAAAGTCCTCAAACTTTATATTTCTTTTTATCTAACTAACAATACTACTGTATTTTTGACTTTTCTGATATCCTTTTACAAAGTTTTGTCAGTTTTGGGGCTCCACACTTGTTGCATTTACTGGAAATCAGTGAAACTATCATAAGCATTTTTCTCATGAACAAATCACCTCCTGATTTGCTCCTTTCTCGACATTTCTCAAATCAGAAAAAGGAAAATGTACAGGGATGTAGTTGAAAGTAAACCTATAAAATCATTGAGTTTAATCGGTTTAATTCATTCTAGCGAGTTGATGTATTATTCACACTTCGACGGGTTGATAAAAGTGTGAAGTAATGCTTTGATTATATAAACTTTATAAGTGGTTGTTTGGCTTATGATCAACTGGACTCACATTTCCTCTGTTACATAATTAAAAATGAGGCACAAACGTAGATTTTTAAAAGCATTTTTCTATGTAACACAGAAGTTAAGATGAAGGTCCAAATTCAGACGTGACATCAATGTACCCTCTTTCTAGCCGAGCTTATTTTTCGCCTTTCATTGGCAGCTTCCACGTCTGTGACTTCTGTTGTCTGTCAAGCTACTAGAGAATCAACCCGTCATTAAGTTAAGTGAGATTTCCGACCGCGAGCAGCAGGTGTGAGAAGGGACAGAACCGTACCAAAGTCATGGAGAAATGAAGGACAATCCTGTTGGACGTGTCGCTCTGAGCCAGCCCTCTTGCACATGAAGTATATGAACAGGTGTTGGGACTTGGGAAAGAGAGCTGTTGTTTTGTATGGTGCTTTGAATGAGTGAAAAAATAAAGTGCAAAACGTGTCTGTAGGAAAGTAACGTTACTGGAGTTGCTGTTGTGAGTTCAAACTGTTAGAGGTAATCAAAGATTGTATATCCTATTTATTGTATGTGTGTGCATACAGTCCAGTCTGGCGTTCTCTAGACGCGGATGTGAGCGTTGATGCCATGTGGTCGACGATGGGGAGTCCTGAGGTGGAACATTTGCTCTGACAGCAAAGACCGTGGGCCTGTGGCGTCCTGTCGGCTGGTTACTAGGTGTGTCATAGCCTTGTGCACTGAACTCTACCTCTGCATAGAGTTTTACTTTTCTCAACTTTTCGTCCTCTCTTCAACGACACTTTTTTGGATTTCACACATTCAGCTTCGATCATGACGACTCCCCCGTGCTAACAAACGTCAACTGCTGTAACTGTGACCTTTTTTTTTGTTGTTGTTTTTCATTGATTGATATTTTCTACATGTGCTGTGTTCTGTTGTTGTTGTTGTTATTGTCAGCGTGTTATTTTCTTTTCAGTGAATCATTCTGTTCCCGTTCTCGGTTTGCCAAACTCACATCTGTTCTCTTTTTCTCTCTGTTCTCTATGATTTGAAGATCTGCTCCTAATTCTTCTCTTACGAAGCAATGTTTAGTAAAATCTGTGCAAGAATTAAACTTTAAAACCTTGCAGCAAACCCAGTGTGTGTCTCTTGTTTAATCTAAAGAATCAACTCACCCAGACACTCACACATTTACTCTGAGACCTCAAACCATCTTTCAGATTATTTCAATATACGCTGTATTGTAGAGCTGATGTGACTCAGCAGGGTTTCTTCTGTCAGACAGAACCATTTAAATGGCTTAGAGCAAGTGGTAATACAGAGATTACACTCTGCCATATTGTCAATGAGGGACACATTTAATCCTCTGTGTTGGCCTTGATTTGCATTTCAATCGCTGCTCTGGTAATTGCAATACAAGTCAATTCAGTGCAATGAAGAGGTGCTGTGAGCGTCAGTGAGAGCAATTGCGAAACATCTCTGTTGAACCACATCAAACATTTACATCTAACATACTGTACACACATAAACAGAGTTTTGAAATCACATCTTTTGGGTTAATGAACACAGACAGCTTAGACTTTTGTGTGTTCAGCTGTCAGATCATTATTTTGAGAGAATTAAATAAAGTCCAGTTTTATTCTTTTTTAAAATGTGGGCCAGAAAACACAGGTAAAAAGCAGGCATCTATAGACTGTTACACCTCATTATACACTGCAGTTAAAGGTGCAGTGTGTGACTCTGGAGCGGGAATGTG